TCGGAGTTCCTAGTTAGACTGCTATCATTCGGAAATGTATTAATAATGTACAATAATTCCTAATCCGCACTCTACTCAAAGTATCAGCATGAAGATAGACGTTGTCGCCGTACGCGTCGGACTGATGTCGAGGTTTTTTTTTGGTGCCCCACTACCTTTTTGGCAAGTAAAATGATTTTTGGGCAGCTAAAATGACTTTCGGTGGGCAACTAAATGACCTTTGGGCAGCTAAAATTTGGCCGGCGATTGCTATCAGGATATTGACGAATCTTTATTCTCGGTTCACACTGAATCACAGGATGAAAAATAATAATCTCACTGAATTCGTAGTCGCTCGAGTACGGCGTTGAACGGAGAGTTGGTCATAGTTATGATCGCCCCTATCTCTACGCGGTTACCCCATTGGGTCCCGACAATTCCCTCCCAGCTGACATGTTGGAAAAAAGCTAGTACAAATATAAACGGCGGGAACTCGGCCCTGGTTTCTTGCTCCCACCACCATGTCGGCGTCCGTAACTGAAAAGGCAGAAAAGACGTCTTACGACGAGGATGTCGCTGTCGCAGACAAGGAAACAGAGGCCGTTGAACTCACCGACAGTGCACGCACCACAATCTTACGCAAACTCGATGTCCACCTGCTTCCATTCGTCTCGCTCCTATATTTACTGTCGTTCTTGTGGGTTCGCGTCTTCCCGCTGTGGAGCTGTGCTTAAATGCGTGTATTTCCACAGAGACAGGGCAAATATCGTGCGCGTCGTTCCTGGTTCCCATTGAACTGCAGTTCTGATCGTAAACCCGTAGGGAAATGCAAAAATTGCTGGTTGGTGCCGATTTCGATCTTTTTGGGGGATTTTTTGTCATCTCTGATTTAGGCATGGCCAAGGACGCCCACCTGACCGGATTTCGCTACAACACTGTGTGTAGCTGCCCCTAGGCTTAGAGAACCGTATTTTGACACGCGTTCCAGATTGCAGCGGTATTCTTTGTAGGTTGCTTGTTTTTCTGTCCTCATCCCTTAACTTCCATAGATTCCGTATGCTTTGGCGGAGGTCCCTTCGTACGCCAACAACGCTCACCGCAACACGTTGTTGACCAAAACCAATGCAGAAATATCCTCCTTAAGCTCGTCCGACCTTCCCGATGGAGTGAGCACGCCGCTGCTCTTCCTTAATTCATCGTATCTAACTTTTTGAAGTTCCATCCATTATGCTAGCATGGGGTTCGTACATCAGACTTTCTCCGCGTCCCGGGTCATTGGCTCATTCCGACTAGGGCTTGTTATGACTTTAATGTGCCTGTGCAAGACTTACCATGACCTTATAATGTGGGACAATCACACCTATTTAGGTGTTGCACACTGATTGAATGTCAGCGCCCGAATATTCCTTGGCCTCGCGGAGGCCGGTCTCTTCCCAGGCGTAAGATCTATAAACGAATCCATTCGGTATGGCTGATTCCGATCCGTAGATCACCTTCTATCTGTCTGTGTGGTATCGGAGACGCGATGTAGCCTCTCGCATCGCCATCTTTTTCTCTGCTGCCACCGTCGCCGGTAAATTTTTTACAATGTGAAGGGTATCATCAACAGAACTGACTACCCATACGAAGGTGCTTTTGGTGGTATTCTTGCGTCGGTGCACCAGTTGACCCGCTATTCCCAAGGCTGACGTTCTTACAGATATGCAATCGAAAAGATGGAGGGGATTGGCGGCCTCCATGGCTGGCAATGGATTGTGAGTTCTGTCTCAAGACATAATCGTAATGCTGTTAATACCAATCGTAGTTCTGTTTGGAAGGCCTCAGTAAATCCACTTATCTCTCAAATACGCTGATTATATTAATATCATCCTAGTGACAATGCTGGGTATTGCGATTCTCAATGTAACTAATTTCTACAGACTAACACCGTAACAGTGGCCACGGCGTCGTACTTCTTCATGCATGATGTACATCAGTTTATTCTCCTCGGCTCAACGCTCGCGTCTCACCTTCATGTTCCAGTACCCTGCAACGGCGGGATTTCTTACGGACACCGAACGCAAGCAGATAGTTTATATGCTGAAGGAGGATGCCCAGGACCTCGCAACTCACTATGATCGAAAATTCGTCTGGCAAGCTATGAGGGATTACAAGACCTACGTCCAAATTGCGATATACATGGGGTAATATTTGTTCCTCCGTTCCAAGCGTATGTCTGACGTTCGTCAGAGTTCTCATTCCCGTGTACGCGATTGCAGTAAGAAGGCTTTTTCCATTCCCGCACGCGCCCTGAATACCGTCCAGCTCTTCACACCGACCATCATCCAAGAGCTCGGATTCACGGCCGCGCAAGCCCAGCTGCTTACTATTCCGCCATTTGCCTGCGGCTGTGTTGCAACCATCGCCGTTGGATTGTACTCCGATAAGTACAACCTTCGCGGTCCGTTCATCATTGGCTCTTGCCTGGTCGCACTCGTCGGGTAACCGTATTTATACATCATCGTAGCGCGCTCTTATTCCTTTTAGGTACATCATCTTGTACGTGACAAAGTCGCCCGGGGCAGGGTATGCCGGCGCCGTGTTGGCCGCTGTGGGTGTGTATTCTACTTAACGAACCCGAGGATACTTTCACTGAAGCCCACTCCAGGTGTGTACCCCACCATTGCGGTAGATCTGGCTTGGGCAGGCAGCATTGCGGGCGGCGACACCCGAAGAGGTTTGCCTCCGAAACTCTTTCTTTTTTTTTTCACCCATGACTCCACTTCTTAGGCGTTGTCATTGCCATGGTCATCGGTCTCGGAAACCTCGGCGGGTAGGTTTTGAGTGTCCTCTTTCCATGTAAAGCCCGCTCATGTGCCGTCGCCAGCATTTGCTCCTCTTTCATCTACATTACACCGTGAGCTCTTTCAGGGTTTAAGAGTTTTTTTTTTTTGAATTTCTTGCCCCAAGTCCGTACTTCCACATTGGGCATGGAACCATCATGGGCTGGTTGAGCCTCTCGTACGTCAAGCCTGCCAATACGCCCGCGGAAAGAAGCTGATATCTATGGTTAACACAGGATCATCCTGAGCTGCTTTGCGATGTGGGACTACAACCGCATCAACAAGCAGCGGGACGCATACTGTGCGCGTGAGGGCATCGATGCGAGCCAGCGCGCCGAGTTTAGAGACTTGGGTAGCGAAAGCCCGCTTTTCAGGTACGTCGTAATGCTCGACCCTCGCCGTAGCGCACAATTGAGCATCAATTCAGGTATACGATTTAAAGACCAGAATTCAAGGATCGGATCGGTTGATACGGAGGGAGGGATCTATCTTATGTACCTATATTCTTTACCACATGCAAACTATCCTCGATTTGTAGCGAGGTGATTTTTACGACTTTCAGAGTTGTTCAGGGTCTCAAGCAAGTCACAATGGTGGAAACAAAGCAATTTGTTTATTTTAGTTGCTCTGTATTTCCTCATCGCTATTCACAATTTGCTTAGCAGGGGCAGCTCCCGTTCTAGATTGTTCGGTTAGTCTGGATGGAAGCGAGACATTTTCAAAGGAACCCACTGCGCAGCAAGCGGGGCCAGCGGAACAACCATCCTCATTGCAGACCTAAAAAAATAATCAGCCTCGCGGTACAGTGGACTGCGGGCGACACAACGTACGCAGGTGTCGGGGAAGCATCGGGCCTGGATGCTCGACGCCGAAGCGGCGGTCGCGAAAAGCGCAATAACAACGGCGACGAAGGCGAAACGCATTTCAAATGTCAAGTAAAAAAACTTGGAGGATGTGCAAGTGTGAATGAGGGTGAAGAAGTGAACCTGAGGCAATGGCGAGCCATCTCAAATGGGCTGCCTTTTTATGCGAATCCAGCAGGCCGTTGCTATGGGGGATCTACGTTGTGGGGTTCAGGTCTTCTCTTGCCTGCTCTATTTTCGGTTCGGATCCGCGGGACAATCATTTCGACAAGTCTCCACGAAGGCTTGAGGAGTCGCGACGCGTTTGTAGTCGAATACGACCTTTCGCGTTAGTGAAGTAGCCACATTTCTCCCTGCGACGCGAAGAGCGCGCCTCCTCGCTGAAGGTACGCCTCCCTCGCTGAAGGCACGGCGGGGGCCAAAAAAAAAGTGAAACAAGGTAACAAATTTTGTGGAGTAGCGGAGATTCTTGATGCATTGTAAAGTTGTGATGTAGTCCGTACGTCGTGCGAATTTGAGTAGTAGCTATCGCACCAAGGTATTCAATGGACGAGATTTGACAACGTGCGCGTAGGTTAGGAGTGTTGCTCAGGAGGCGATTCGATCCCGATATTTTTCGACAAAGCGTCAAGGACACAGAGAATCTCACTTCGTTGTCAAGGCGGAAAGGTATGATATCGACGATTGAATTGTGATGTTCGTAAGATGCTGTAGTAATTTCAAGTGGAGTCAGGGCCAATGGAACACCTAACGACGGATCCGTTGGGAATGGCGGCGAAAACTGACCGTGGGTGTCCGAGCTGATGTCCGTCGGGCCTCGGTCAGGGTGAACGAAATGACGACGGCAATGAGCTGAGATACGTTGCAGTGGACATGAATGCCCAAAGATCGTTGTAAACAGAACAGGCGCCTATACCTAGTATGGTTCGACAAGCAAGCTGACAAGCCAAGAATCATCAGCGGAGGCCTAGGGTTATCCCACTGCGACACAGATGTAGTTGTGGTCAGAGTTGAGGAGCACAAGCAACTTTAAGCAAGAGACATCGAAGTAACATGGAAGTCAAGAGCAAGAAAAGTGATTCAACCCAGTTTGGTATTTGAAAAGGATTGCGCCAGATTGCGCCATTGTGAAAAAAAAAAAAACAGAGAGCACAAACAAGAATGAAAAAAATGATCCGGCCCAGGTTCGAACTGAGGACCGCCTGTGTTCACATTTACGTAATCCATCAATTAATAGTTCAACGATGTTGAAACAAATTCGACGCTGTCGGCAAGAGATACCCAGAGTATAAGGGAAAAAAAAAAGAACACACGAACAAGAATAAAATGAAAAAGATGATCCGACCCAGGTTCGAACTGAGGACCGCCTGTGTTCACATAACCCGATATTGAGCGACAATGTTAGACAGAAGTGATAACCAACTACACCATCGGACCGTTGCAGACTCGGTAGGAAGAAGCCAATATGGTGTTTATAGGCGTGGCATGTGCATTTAAAGTAAGGCGCCAAGATGAAAATTGCAGAGGGCAGAAGGGCGGCAATGAATTGAAATTCAGCTATCCGAGTCAATGAAATCCCTGTTCAGACCCCTTTGTGTTTCAATCGAGACGCGTCAGTAGCGGTGTTGAGTTGTTATGATTTGGACGCGACAACAATTGAAATCGATCGGATTAGCCGACCTTCTGCCTCTTGCGCTCTAATGCACGCCATACAGGTCCGTCTGCTCAGGATCCTCCGTATTCGTTGCTTATTCTCTATTGTAGCAACATTACTGGTCTGTTCGGGAATACCTGAGCCCTGTAAGTAGTTCCTGCTCATATAAGTCTCAACCCTCATCGTTCCCTACTCAGGTTCTCAGAGAGAGCAAGTTTAAAGAGCATGGCCGTATCACACCCGGTTCGTCTGGATTTACCGTAGTAAACTCCTCGTTTCTGACTTTTCGCAGAGGAGTTTGTCGCAGCAGGCGATTTTCTGGCCTACAAGTTCCCAGTGTGGACTTGGTCAGTGGCACTCTTGTACGAGGCGGCAGCAACTCATGCTATCTGCGCATCAGGGAAGCGGGCGATTCATCCAAGGCCAAAGACTATCTCCCCGGGGACAAGCAATATCTGGTTACACGAGGGGTGCCTTGTCTTCGCCGAGCAACCTCTCTTGCGTACACAGACGCCGACGAGGATGCTGAACGCCTGCTGTCGTTTGGCGACTCCACCAACTCTACTGGGGCCGACGAATGGGTCGAAACGCATGCGGGCCGCAAGGCAACCATTGATTCCACCAATCCGGGCAGCATCGACGATATTCCCGACCTAGATGGCGCACCGGAGGACTCGGTTACCCATGCTGTGGGTGCACTGTCTTTGGACGGTACCGCCGAGACTCCCGATTTGGATGATATTCCTGATATGGAAGAAGAAGGTCTGGAGGAGGAAGAGGATGAAGCCACTGCCGCGCCCAAGGCCGGCGTTGTTGACGCTAGGTTGGATCTATATCATCTCTTGCTGACACCTGCTTAATTAACTATTCTAGCCAAGTGGAAGTCGCCAATGGAAATCTCCTGCAAGTGCGAACGTACGACGTCATGATAACCTACGACAAGTACTACCAGACTCCTCGCATCTGGCTGATTGGCTACGATGAGGTTGGATTCCCTGGCCTCCAGTTTTGCTTTTCCCTAATTTGCTCTCGAAGAATCGTACACCTTTGACACCACCACAAATCTTCCAAGACGTGTCCGCCGACCATGCTTTCAAGACCGTCACTATTGAAGGATTCCCGCACTCTGCATCGCTGCAGGCTGCATCAGTCCACCCCTGCAAACATGCCAGCGTCATGAAGAAGGTCATCGAGCGCATGAACAATAGCGTCGTCGAGGAGCAGCTTGCGCAACGCACCAAGTCGACCTCGAAGGACGGCAAGAAGAAGTGGTTTGGCCGCAAGGCCAGCGGCAACGGGAAGGATGACAAGACCGCCGATGACGAGGACGTTGAGGGCATGCGCGTCGACTTTTATCTCGTCGTGTTCCTCAAGTTCATTGCGTCCATCGTGCCGACCATCGAGGTCGATTCGACGACATCGTTCTGATCGCACACCAAACCGTGGATTATACCCCGTCCAACGAGCAAATGTATCTGTATGAAAACTGATTTACTTAGAAATGATCATGCTGTGCTACTACTTTTCATCCCACCCAGAGCGAATACAATAGCAAAAAGTAAGTCGGAACAAAATCAAGTAGCGACCTCTGTCGTTGACTTGGACTTTTTATCCTTTTTCTCTTTCCGCTTCTTCTCTGTCGGCGCGTCGTCTGAAGGTTGGGAGCATCACAGGCGCCGCGTCGCCTTTCCCCTTCTTGTCCTTCTTCCGTTTCTTTTCTACCGGCTCGTCAACAGGTATCGATGGCGGCACATCGACGTCCATCGCTCCCTCGCCACCGCTCTTGTCTTTCTTCCGTTTCTTTTCTGGGACCGAGGAAGCTGCATCGACCTCCATCGTCTGGACGCTCCAGCAGCCTCTTCTGCCGCCGCTGGTTTCGCTTTCTTGTCCTTTTTCTCCTTCTTGCGTTTCTTCTCGGCAGGTTCAGCGTCCGGTATTGACGGTACATCGACGTCCATCTCGTTGTCTTCACGTTTCCGCTTTTTGGGTGTAGACTCGTCTGGTGTCGTCGGTGTCGCCAGCTCGGGTGTAGCTGTACCGTTCACGCTTGCGAGCTTGGCGGCGTGTTTCTGAGCTTTTTTGAGTTCCATGGCCTCTTCCCGCAGCTGTTTCCGGTTCTTCGTCTCCCATCCTTTGCGGGCGCAGTAGTCGGCTCGGCGGACGATGCAGCGGGCTAACATTGCGTTGAGTGACGGAAAATTGAAAGATAGTTTCGCAGTATTACCTTCGTTTCTGCGGCCGCTGCTTTTTTCTTCTCCCTCTTCTCCTGCTTCTCTTTCTCCTTCTGCTCCTTCTTCTCTTGTTTCTCCTTCTCCTTCTCCGCCTTTTTCTCTTTTTTGTCCTTTTTCTCAGTAGGCGTGGGCGCTGGTGCAGGAGCTTTTGGGGGGTCTCGACAGCCGGAGGAGCGGCGGCGAGTGGGGAAGGTATGGGCGACGTCCGTGTCGGCGTCCCTAGCGGTGTATCATTTGCACCAGTCGCCGACGAGCGGGCCGTGCCCCATCCCCTCCACGCGCACCGCCCCGTCCCCCGCGCCCGCCCACCGTCCAATTCCGCACCGTGCTCTCCGGCGCCGCTGGCCGCGGCGGGTAGCTGCTCTTTCCATTCCCTGCCTTCAATGCTACATCAAACTATTTCGTTTCCGAATGTGCATCGAAGGACATACAGTCTTGGGGCCCTTGTACACGCTCTTTTCGTACTTTTCGGCCTCGCTGATGCACTGCGTATGGCCCTTGTATTCCGCGGGGGAGTTAAATGTCGTGGAGCAGTCGATGCAGTCGAACCCCGCGTAGCATCGGTTGTAGTGCTGATCAAGTTTTGGTTTTTTTACGGTGTCCTGGCAGGCGTGGCATCTGGAATGAGAACATAAGTTGGAATCTTGAAGGAGCAAAAAACTGACTGGAATGAAACCATAACGAACAACCCGCGGTGCGTAAAAGCAAGAGACAAAAAATTTTGAAGGAAGAGCTTCCGAAAACAACAGACCACAACAAAGCTTTGCTTTCCCTTGCAAGATGTTCGCGGGAGAAGAGACCTTTATTCGAAACCAGGAGCAGAAAAAAAGACAGGTACAATGATACAATATTAATCCGAGTCCGCGAACCCATATCCTCAAGACGACCCAAGCTTAATGACCCAGGTCTCGACGCAAGGCTCCGCACCTGGCAGCAGCCGCAGCTCTGCGAAATCCTCCATCTTGTCGAGCCCCTTGAAAATTGTATTCGACCCAAGCCAATCGATGCGCTTCAGCCTCGTATCGGGGTCTGATTCACCGCGCCTCTTGGCCGCAGCCTCGATCGACTTTCTCAAGGCCTTGTCGTTGTTGACCACAATGCCCCACTCCGAATCAGCCATGTGCTGCTGGAGCTGTAGCGCTCATATTAGCCGCGGGGTTAGCAAGGAACGAAAAACCAGACGTACACCGGCATAGAGAGCATCCCAGACGGCTTCACACGTTACGGGTGTGTTCGACATAACCTCGATGGTCCACGGGAATGACTTGCATATGAGGCGGACGTGCGACGCCGAGCTCGCGGTTGCGAACAAAAGACGGTTTGGCATGTACGTCGCCGGCGCTATCTCGTTGCGCGCCTTTTTGCGCAGGTCGTAGCGCACCTGGGTCGAATCGGACGCAAGGATCGGGTTCAGGGTCGGGTACTTGGAGGAATGGTACCCTGCAGAAGAACGACACGTTAGTGAGCATTATGCGGGGTGCAAATCTCCCGCACCAGCATTGGGGTTGGGAGGCGCCCAACCGGGCTGACCCCAATAGCCCGGGAAGGCTTGTTGTTGCGGAGGGGCAAACCCGGCCGGGTGAGGCTGCTGGTAGTATGCGGGCGGCTGCCACGGATTTCCCCAGGGATTCATTCCAGTTCAATCGATGTGAAGGTTTGTCGCAAGTTAAGCAAAAGTGAGCGCCTGATCCAGATGTGTATATATTCGGGCGGCGGCGTGAGAATGACTCAGACTTTATATCCGAACGCGATGCACTTCCTCCTGGGCTGTTGGCTGTAAAGAGCTGTTAAGCCGGCAATAAGTAAGGATTCTCCACGAGCCTCTCCACGCTGCGATAGGGCATCTGATTGCGGACGGGTGCTGTGCAGAATCGGCTCCGCAAAGGAAAAGGAAAGGAGTCTAGGGATACTGACAAATCGAGTGGGCGTCCGCGTTGGAGAAACGCGAAGGAACGCGCAAATATCGCTCCCCTCTTGAGAGAGAACGAGGGGTTGAGATTAGAGATGAGAATACTTCGTGAGCGCTGACTGGCGCTAATCAGCGTCAGCGTGAATTTTGAGCGCCTACTTATGCATGCCTTCTGCCATGCAGTGTTCATCCAAGATTGACGGAATGCTCGAGAGAGGATGTTGAGAACAATGGTCCTCAAACGACGGGAATTGGATGTCAGAAATAGAAAGAGAGCGCACTAGAGTATTCGGGTCAAGAAATCTTCTTCGAGAGCATTGATCCGATGGAAACAGATTCTACAGAGCTATAGTGTCGGCGCACTGTGAGCGAAGAGTGTGGGTGTTGTTGCAAACGAGGAAACGACCAAGTTGAATACGGTCAAGGTGGCTCGCTGGTGGCGAATGAGTAATCCATACGTAGAACTGTTTCTGAAAGTTTCTGAAACAAACTTTGCCGAAAGTGGAGGAGGAAATGGATTACTCGCGAGTGTTGAAAAAATCTTTTAGGTTCGGAAGTTGGAGACCAGTTCAAGTTCAACACCGTGACAAAGTAACAAAGTGACCCGTGACATTGACGCCCCTGTCTTTAATCCCTCCAACGG